ATGCCCCTACTCTTTTCTTGTGCTTTTACTTGGACAGGTGGATGACGAGTACATCATCGTCGGATCAGCCAACATCAATCAGCGTTCCATGGATGGCGGCCGTGACACGGAGTCCGCAATCGGTGCATACCAGCCTTATCATACGTACGGGTACCGCGAGGAGCTGCCGAAGGGTCAAATTCATGGCTTTAGGATGTCATTGTGGGCAGAACACACAGGTGCCCTTGACGAGCTTTTCTTGGAGCCATCTTCAATCGATTGCGTGCTGAGAATGAACGAAATCGCACATGAGAATTGGGCCCAGTTCGTCGCAGAACAACCAGAGGATCTCCGAGGTCACATCATGCCATACCCAGTTGCTGTTGCGGATGACGGGACTGTGCATGCCCTCCCCGGTTGTGTCAATTTCCCAGATAGCTCAGCCTGCATTCTGGGTGAGAAGAAGTCGCTTCCAGATATTCTGACGACTTAGTGTCCAAACAAAACGAGAACTTCAAAGGGATCGGGACCGCCATTGCCAAAGGGATCGAGACAGCCATTGCGAAAGGGATTGGGACAGCCATTGCGAAAGGGATCGGGACAGCCATAGCCGTTTCGAGTAAGCGATCACGAAAACCATAGCCAAACTTAACAAGGTATCGTGAAATCTGTAGGCCATGTAAATATATTTATCACCGACGGTCGTAGTTGAAGAAGGGTCATGCAGAACCTACAAGCTTGTTGCCTGCCTGCCTGCCTGCCTGCCTGCCTGTGTGCAGGTTCAGGAGAAGACAACAGATTTTTGGGTAGGGAGGTTTATCCGGATGATGGGAAAGCCGAAAATAAAGAGTTTTGTTTGTTCTGATGAGAAGACGTTGCCGATGAAGGTGGGGGCAGAGGAATGAACTGTTATTTATGTATGTTTGCATGTTTATCCATCTGCTTTGGCAGAGGAATCAACTGTTAGTTATGTATGTTTGCATGTTTATCCATCTGCTTTTGTCCTATGTTTTGAGTGTCTGTCCAATTGGGCTCCAGTTGGTCGGCACAGTTTTTAACAGCATTTTAGGAAAATTGCTGCTATAGTGTTTTGCAGGGTTTTTTTTTTTTTTTTTTTTTTTTTTTGAAGGTACGAGATCTTTAGATGTTCTCGTACCAAGGGTGTGTGCGAATTTGCAAGTTTTGGAACTTCAGTAGGGATTTGGTTACTAAAAATAGAAATCTAGGTTTGTCTGTGCTTTCGAGTTATGGGAGATAATCAATTTTAGTCCTCTGTTCAGTGTTCTTGGCATTTCTGTCCTTTTTTCTCTTTTCCAATCGAACTTCATTGGCGTCTGGCTGGATGGTATTGAATTTCATTTACATCGATGTGTTTCTGTTTACTGCAGTTTTCTCTAGGGATGTAGCTAAATGACCAAAGTGCTTCGTCTTGCTAGAAATGTTCCATCTGATGTGAGGGATGCTTGCGCAGCTCTTTTCTTGTTCTTTTTTCTTGTCTTTTTTATTTAAAAAAAACAGAAGAGGACGCACCGATTACTGTTGAGGGTGATATGAGAAGCCCTCAGCAGCAGTTGTGCTGCATCAGTACTTGAGCTGCGCAAAGCAACCAACCATAGACAGGATGGTTTGTGCAGCTCAAGTACTGTTCCCTGATTGTTTACTCGAATGTTTGTATCGATGCATTCTCTATCTTAAGTTTGCGCATTGACTGACTCTGTTTCTCTCAGTTTGTGCATTGATTGGCTCAGGGTTCTTTTTTTTTTTTTTTTTTTTTTTTTTTTTTTTTTTTGAACGATTGGCCATGTAGTCTCCGGAGGGAAGAACCTCGTCATCTCATTATTGAAGGGGCATGCTCGGGTTGGGTTAGTTTTGTGAAGTAACGAGGTATGGGGGGGGCTATGAGGGTGTTGGGGGCTGGTATGGGGCTGTTGGCGGGGTGTATGGGGTGTAGAGGGGGTATAATAACTGTATCTGAAAGTTGCTCTAAACACAGCTAACTGGCTATTTGTCTAAATCTCAGAGATTGTTCATGGACCTGATTCGGTGAGAATGTCAGCTTTTTACGAGGTTTTCTAACTTTTCTTGATAAAAAAATCATTTTGCTCCTACTGTCTTTTTTATCTGAGAATGTTCGCGGGCACTTACAAATGTCTTTTTGTTGATAAAAAATTCCTTTTGCTCCTACTGTATTTTTTTTTGTTTTTTGGTTAAGCCCAGGGTGTTGTAGAGGCCAAGGACCAGACCCGCGGTGATTACTGGTAGCGGCAGCCAATGGTTATCCTGACAGGATAGGCCACCTACCCTACGCATCCCCACGTTAATACTCCCAGCGCACCCCCTATCCTACCTCAGTGTGGCCAGCATGCAGGACCATCACCGTACCAGTATCGAGGGCAACTTGTACCAGACAGCAGTGACAAGCACCAAGGCTGGGCCGACCTCCCAGCCCTAGTAGAAGCGGAAGTGGACGAACCTTGCGGTACGGGAACTTCGGACGCCAGGCTAATGCAATCTTCTACAGGCCCAATTCAGAGAGTCTACCCAGCAGGATCACCTAAGCAAGGCAGGCCAGTGCCCGCGGACACATCCTACCGTCCTTCCCCTAGCTTACCCAAGGCTAGGCGGAACTCAGACTAGCCGGAGGGACTTATGTATCCCTACCCTACCCTGGAGCTAAGCCATGCATGAGAAGACCCCGTCATTTACCTGATAGACCCCCCCAGCCCAGTATTGTAGTTGTGTGTATGTGTGTGTGCCCAGAGGCTATGTATGTTTGTATGAGCCCATAGGGCCATGTTTTTTGTGTCTGCCCGAAGGCTATGTGTGCTCTGTGTAACTGTATAACGAAATGTATGTGCCCGAAGGCCAGATATGTGCAGTACTATGTAGAGGGAACTGTGTTCGTTTGAGGAGATGACTGGCCAAGCTGGACAAGAACCCCCCCCAAAGTCCCAAGCCAGATGGGAACCTGTGATCTATGACTTGTGACCTGAAGACTCTACCATTAGAGCGACAATTGCAAACGGCCCGTGTGTGATATGCCAGACTGGGGAGATCAACAGAACAACCACGAGCTACACCCACAAGCAACCCACGCAGTATCAAGACTCGACATGCAACACCATGGACAACCCTTGGGTGGTGCGCAGGGAGTGTCTGTATAAGCTTACCGTGCATCAGCCCAAGGGGTTGTGTGTCCAGCCATACGCATTCTAACGTCTTGCCAGTGTCCATGCGCGAGGCTGCAATTGAGTTCTGAACCCGCAACCTCATACCACAATGTGCATTTCCAATCGGTGCTCTAACCACCAGTCGTAGGAAATATGGGGGTTGTTTTTTTTTTTGCATGTCCCTTCCCATATGCGCGCTCCCCTTTGATCCGGAAGAATAGGGATGGTCGTAACAATAACCATTTTCTTGGACTTTGCCAGAAGAGCGAGCGAGACGATGTTCAGTATGAACAGC